AGGAAAATTCCAGTACAAACTGGCAGCATCTGGAATAAAACATGAGACCCATGGCAAAAGGATAGTCACCCCTTCTCCACAGGCAGTACACCACCACCCTACTCTCAGCTGAATGGAATTGTGCCCACTCAGGAGGGTTCCTCCATGATCCACCACCCCTGTGGCTAGGAGTTGGAAAGTGGTGAGGACTCCTGTACTCCACTGGAAAAAGGGGAGAGCATTGGAGAGTCTGGAGGAATGCATCACTGGAGAAAATGCAATGGGTGACCACAAAACCCTATTTTGAAAAGCAGACCGTTCCCAATTCCGGCAATCTAAGGAATGTTAGAGATGGGCAGTAATCATCAGTGTGTGGTCTGGTATGAACATATTCAAGACGCAATATACCAAGCAAGCAGTCTTGTGAAACACTCCATCTTAACAGTAAGCTTGATAGACCTCATAGATCTCACGGTGCAGATATCAAGTCTAAAAATGGTGATTGAAGTCTAGGTGCTTCAACAGGCTAAGAACATGCCTGCACAGCAAAGGAATAAGGGAGAAACTGTCCAAGTCTGCATTATTTCTGATTAAAGCCCTCAGGTAAAAGCAGAATTGTTTGTAGATTTGGAGATCCCTTGGTCTGCATGAAAGAAGCCATCTCCTGATGAACTATAGCCAACACTTCCTCCACTGTTAACACCAAACCTGCAGGCATTGTCATAACTGTTGAACACTTGTACCATTGGTAGCCATTGTAGTCATAATAGTAAATTGTAAGTCAAAAAATATTGACTGATTACTGGTAATTTAGTAAGAAATAGAATTCACAACCAAATAAAGAAATCCAACTCGACAGTGGATTATAAACAAACTTTGAAACGTGAAAATCAGTAAATGAATATTTTCAAAATGCACTAAGGAGAAAAACAAAAGGGCTGAAATCAAGCACTAGGTTTTAAATATGTTGTGCTAAAAAAAGAAGTGAAGATCGGGTTTAATTGCATAGAGGGAATCAGCTGGGATAGGAGGGTGTGTCGTACTCCTATTGTTGGAAGGTTGTCACATGCTAATTTGCATACTTAAACACAGCTGAACCATATAGTATACATGTGGAATTAGTTAGGAGTTCTACACTAGTGGTTAGCAAAGATTTGCTCATTAGATAGCAGTCAAATCGAGTATAGCTGTAACTATGAGTTGAGTTAAGTAACTGTACCAGGATTACCCTTTTGTTCTTTCTAGAATGACTTGTAACATGAAACTACATTTGTTTATACTAAATAGTTTTAAATTCATAACAATATACATCTGTTTATATTTAAATTTTATTGTTTTATTGCCCTTTGAACTGTATCCAACTAATATTCCCACCACACAAGTTGTACAGAACTTGGCAAATGTGTATGTCACATTACCCTATTGAATTACATAATGCACAGACTACTCGTGAGTTTCTCCTTAGTGTACCTCAAGAAAAACTGTTATTATTATTATTCATTTTGCCTAATGTAACCTTATCTAGCCTAAAAAGTTCTAATTTTTACATTTTAGTTACCTTTATAATAATAGATAAATAACAAGAAATAAAGTATTACCTGGATCTTTTTTTTTCTGCTATCGACTATCAATGAAACTTAACCCTACTTTTTTATATTAATGGAACTACTGCACAAAATATTTTATTTGATTAAATAATGCACCAAAGAACACAGCATAATAACATGCAAAAAACAGAAATGTCCCCTAAACATCATAATTTCTCTATTTCTAACTATGCAACAAGAGCCGTTAAAAATTCAGCTAAGTTCATTGATGTGGTTCTCGTGGTATTAATGTTGTGGAAGTGAAATAGACAGTTCTCTTTATAAAAAGCAACATAATTAATAAGTCATTGGATAGATTAAAACTTTGGCTTTGAATTAGTTATAAATAATATTATATTAAACATCAGAAAGAACTACTGGCAATTTGTCAAAAAGAGGATGTGACAGGTTGGTATGGCAAGAAGGGTCCAATTTTCTAGTTTATGGCTCTGTGACCAAATAAGATTGAAGACTATAAAAATTATGCTTTGCCTGAGCAATGACAATATTAATAACAAGTAATTTATGTGAAATTTCATAATTCTCAGAAGGATGGTAAATAAATTAGAGAAGAGGGGATACCTGGAGAGCAAATGTCACAATTCTCATACTTGGGGAAATTGTGAATTTTTTTAATATTGCCGTATAATATTAAGAACTTAAAATCTATATAATATTAAAATTTGGATATGATATGATAATAAAGTAATTTAATGAAATTTTGATTGTAACTCATTAAAATCTTGTAACATGCACAGAAAAGGATGCCCATAGCCAGTGTTAAACAACATTTTGAAATTTAACACTTTCTTTACTTGAAAATGTATTTCATAGATAGATACTCACCTCTTCACAAAGTTTAGCTATCTTCCTCACAGGTCTGCCATAGACTTGCATGAGACTAGCCTTGAGGCAACTTCCACCTAATTTGAATTTGTGAATTTATGTGAATTGCAGTACTGTATGCTAACTTCATCATGTGACAAAAGCCCTCTATCAATAGGAGGGTGATACACCTCCATATGCAATAACTCCCCCTTCATTCTTCAAGGAGACAAGGAAAAAATAAAAGCTGCACCACATGTGGGGGGATGGGTGTATAAGAAGGTGAGTATCTATTTGGAAAACATTTTCAGTTAAGAAAAATGTTAACTTCCAAGATGATACCTCACCTTCTTATACAGTTTAGTTAGAAGAGAATCCTCCAGGAAGAACCCTAATGAAACCCATCGGGTGTGACACCTGATGGCAGGGGCTCCACTGGGGCACACCCATGCGAGACTGCATCTGATCTTGTCCAAGTTGTACTTATTGCTTTTAAAGGAAAAAGGGAAGAGGCAAAGAAGCTACATATGTCACACAGACAGGCAGAATGTAAACATGACCGCCCAAGTACCTGCACACAAGCAGTTGAATATTCAATAATGTACAGACCTTACCTTGTGTTCTCATCTCAACTTTATTGTCACACTCTACTGGACAGACTCCAGCTGTGGGAGGGAGGTACATTAGTTATGTAATATGGATTTCTGTGTATGTTTCAACTATACTGTCAGACTATGAGAAAGTCTCCAGCTGTGGGAGAAAGGCTCGTTTGTGATACATCATAGTTTCATATATCATGTGCTTGCCTCAACTCCACCATCAGATTCTACAGGGCTTACTCCGTCTGCAGGAGAGCATTACAGATATGGAGTATGGATAAATATAGTATTCTCTTGACCCTACTAAACAGACACTAGTTGCAGTAGGAGGACATATATATCTATCTATATATAATGAAATAAATAGCTTCAATACTATTAATTACATTAATTGTTAATAGGCAATTAAAATCAGCACTATAAAACAATAATGAATTTAATATAAAATACGCATTAACAAAATTTTAGTAAAGAATCCACTGTCAATCCCACTTGTCACCTCAACTCTCTCAGCACAGTTATAGTTTTCATGCTATAACTTTTAAATTAGTAACTGTATGTTAACAAAATTTGGCAGATTATCAGTAAATATTACAATGCTTTCATACACAAAATATCACATTTTTTTTATTAAGTCTTA